CCTTGACCCTCCTCTCTTGGTCTCCCTTGTTTGGATATGGTTGTAGGGAGATGGTGGTAGGGCATGAGCCTCCCTCTTTGAGACACAATCGTGGGAAGATGGTAGTGGAGCATTCTCAGGAGCAATGACAGTTGCCTCAGCCAGCGACCTTTATCACAACAGCCCACCCAGACCCTGTGTGCTTTTTCCTCCTTGGCTGAGAACACTCACCAGGCTAGCCTTCATGCAGAGGTTGCAGGTGACTTTACTGCTGCTGAGAGTTTTTCTTACGAGTCTTGATAGACAGCCCTGAATCAGGCAACCTTATGGAAAACAGGACAAAATGTTTCCAGTCCTGCATCACCCTCACGATCCCAGCATGTTTGAGTCCACTATCACAGTCATGTGACGATCCATCTCCCGAGGGTCTCCTTTACACTCACTGGCCTGCTACTTGACCCCTTCTGATGCCCAAAGACAGTGAATTGTGAGCCATAGGAGTTTCATTGATTGCTTTTCAGGACTAGATTACCAGTCCTTTCTTCCTACTCGCTCTTGGTCCTAAAGCTCTGCTGAAATCTGTCCACCGTGGGTGACCCTGCTGGGATTTAAAATACCAGTGACAGATCTCGCAACATCACAGACACATACAAACCACCACAGTAGGACACACTGACAGAATATGGTAAATAATGACTCCCTAAAATGCAATCCAGCCCCTACTGTGCTTATAGTCTACTGGAGGAAATCCACACTCAGCAGGAGAATTTCTGTGATACTCCATCAGTGTCATAAGGAGCCCTGGTGGTGCAGTGGGTTAAGTGGCTGGTAACCCAAAAGCCAGGGGTTGGAGCCCACCAGCTTCTCCACGGAAGAATGATGTGGCAATCTGCTTCCATAAACATACAGCCTCAGAAATCCTATGGGACATTCTCCTCTGCCCTGTAGGGTCACTGTGAATCCACATCACCAACAGCACTGGGCTTGGTTTTATCAGTGTCTTGGTGGACACTGGGAAGAAAGCTTTAGTGAGCAATAAGAATGTAGACCAGGAAGCCAGACCTGACCTGAGAACTGACTTCAGATCTAGGGGGAATGAGAGTTGATGAGGAAAGGGGGTATGCAAAAGCCTAGGAAGGCGAAGTTGTGCTAGTGAGCCTAGAGAGGGGGCCTAACAAAGAAAACACTCCTTCAGGCCATGTCCTGCTGGGGTATATAGTCCTGGCTGCCTGGCCAGATTGAAGCAGAACCCAGAAAATAGGGGCGCTCAGGAGCTCAGAAAACAGGGCAGACCAGCACCAAGGCCAGTCCCAGCCGATGAGCCCAGCAAGGCAACCTCAGGTGTCACAGTTGCAGAACATTGGGGTCAGAAGGCTCTGGTTTGCGCCCTCTCTCCACACTTTGGCCTTGGGTCTGGGGAAGTAGCTTGACCCTTGTGTTCCAGCTGCCTCTACAGGATAAGGGGACTGAGTTCCTCCCAGGGCATTGGGTGCTGACTGATGGTGTAGGTTCCTGGAATCCAGAAGGTCCAGTCAGCACCCCTCATGGGCCACCATTACTGACAGATTGTGGGATAGGTGTGATGTGCCAGGAGCCTGTTTCTTTCTGCCAGAAGCAGTCCCAAGAACTGGGCCAAGGCCGTGCCTCTGGCTCCACTGGCCACAGATTCTGGGTGTGGGTCTGGCTCCGGGCCTGGGAGGTACAAGCGGAGGGTCCACCTGGGGCTGCCTTCTTGAGAGCCATTTGTATCATTGCATCTTTGTTAAAAGTGAGTGTTAGCTCCCACCTAATGAAAGCCATGGTGCTGTAGAACAAGCACCCACCAGCCACTCCTCAGAAACCTTATAAAGGGTTATATGGTCGGAACCAACGTGACATTACTTAACAACAACGAAAGGCTGTTGAGGAAAATGCTGGCATCCTTAAATTTTCTTAGAGCATAAAGTTTATTCGTGGTTACTGGGAGTGGGAGGGAGAGGATAAGAGGGGTTTAATGGTGCTGGAAAAGCCTCACTGATTAAGAGAAGCAATGTACAGCTGATTATTGTCAATTGCTTTCAATAAGTTGCACACCTGTCAAAAGTTGAGTTGAGAGATCTACTTACAAGATCTATTTGCCAAAATACAGAGCAGCTGCTGAGGCTGCTTATAAACAGCCCAACACGTAATGGGATTTGGTTCCGTGGTTCGGAGGTTGAGGGTCGTGCTTTCATGGGACAACTCAGTGACTTAGCCTAATAAGGTAGGTGTTTAGTGTTTCTGCCATACCTCCTAGCTCCATGCTTAAAGAAAGCCTGCATCTCAAAAGCCTGCAGTCAGAAAGTGCTGGCATTGTGTTCTTTCTCTCCGTGAAGAGCCCAACCCCAAGTCCCCATTTCAAGTCAGTAGTGTGACAGAGAAACAGGTGTCACTGTGGGCCACCCTGTTGGAAAGATTCAAGGGCAGAGGGAAGTTTCCTCCCTGCCCTTTCCCCTAAGCTTTGCAGGGAGGAAGACAAACAACCATGGTGCTTGTAGTAAAATGGAGCGGTGTGCTTGTTGTCCGGGCAGCATGGCTGTTCACCTCACATGCACACACCCAGCGCCTCGTCCAGGCTACACACTGTCCCTCCATCAGGGTGAGCTATGACCTTGCCTTCTTCGTCCCAGCTCTCCTTGCCGGCAGTCTTTATGTACCAAGTGTGGTATATTTCTGGTCTCTGTCCTTGCAGATGCTGCCATGATCCTGGGAGGAGCAGGTGTTGGGTGGCAAGTTGGTGGCTCTGCCCCATGGCTGAGTTGGGCCTTACAGCCTGCCTGTGCCAGGCATGTGTCCTGAGAGCCCTCTGAGTCCCCTGCCCCTACCTTCCTCCACCTCTTTTGCCAACTCCACCTTCCTTCCTGTCCGGAATAGTAGATCTGTGCCCCCACTAAGTGCTGCTCTGGATCAGGGGCTGAGGGCAGGGTATAGGCATGGCCAGGGGGCGCGGGGGGACGGGGGGAGCCGTGGCGGGGCAGGGAGGCTGCACTGAGGAGGTCCCAAGTGGAGAGGTCAGGTTTGAAGGGTGTGGAAGGGAGGGGAGCCATTCTGCCCTGCAGACAGTGCGGAACAGCAGTGAAGTGGATGGAGGCCGGGGTCCCCAGGAGCTTTCTGAAACCTTGGTCAGACACAACTGGACCATGCTGCTAATTCCATCTTCCCATGTGCCGTTGTCACCAGGTGATTGTGCCCATGTGGAAGATAGGACCTTGGCTTTTCCTGGTCTCCAGCCTTGGCCTTTAAAGACTGCTTTCTCAGGGTGCTGGGCAGTGCCCAGACATCCCTGTACCCCACCCAGCTCAAGGAGCTCCTGGCTGCCTGGTGGGCACGCTCACCACAGTCCAGGGTCTCAGTGCCCCCAAGGAGACCTGCCCCCTGAGCACTAGGCATCCAGAGCCCCTGAGTGTGCCCTGCCCCCCCCCCCCCCCCAACTCGCTTGGGAACACAGGTAATGTAAACGCAGCAGGCAGGAAGCAGTGACATTTCTGAGGCGAGAGCCATCTTTTATTTATTGAATTCAACCCACTGTGTGAATTATTCACCCCGTTTATGTAAGCATGGAGCTGCGAGAATTGTGGAATGGCCCCTCACCTCACAGCTGCGTGGCCTACAGCTGTCCTGAGTGGTGAGCCCTAAGGGGTGCTCTGAGCCATGGTGGCCAGGTGTCTGCGGGGAGCAGGGCGCACAGAGCACCCCTAAAAGAAAGTATGTGTAGTACCTGCATCCCCTGGGGACCCTTCCCAGCTGGGGCAGCGAAGGTGTGAGTCTGGGCAGGCTTGAACCTGGCAATCCCAAGAGGAAAACACAGACCACCCCAGGCCTCACAGAGAGGAGGGAACACACACAGCCCCAGGCTTCACAGAGAGGAGGACACATATACACAACCCCTTGACTTTCATGAGCCTCAGTGTCCTTATTTATACAACATGAGAGGCCGGGGACATACCTGTGAGGTAGTTGTGACATTCACAGCCCCTCGCGGTTTGTGTGAGATGGGGTCGCTCGAAACTAACATTCACTCAGCACCCATGTTGTCAGGATGACAGTGTCCACAGCTCCCTACAGTTTATGTATGAGGTGGGGTCAAGCACAACTGACATTCACTCAGTACCCTCGTTGTCGGGATGATAGCATTTGCAGCTCTCTATAGTTTACGAGTGAGGTGGGGTTGTGCACAGCTAACATTCACTCAGTACTCCCATTGTTGGGATGACTGTTCACAGCCCTCTACAGTTTGACATGCATTCTGAGCTGGAGGCCTTGGGCTTCGTGGTGTGACCAGTTCTTGTCTGAAGGTCAGGGACCCAGAAGGCTTGGCTGAAGTCATGAGATCAGGAAGAGATGGCCAAGTGTGTGTCTTGCTTATGTCATGCTCACGGGGCCTGATGCCAGTCAGTTTTCTCTCCTGGAGCAGAGGCAGTACCCCCCTCCCCCACAGGTCCTTCTTAACCTGCAGGTGGAGCCCACAGAGCGATATGATTGGAACCACCTGAATAATTCCTGGCTCGTGGCCGCCCCACCTGCAGGCTGTGTGGAGTGGGGTGAGCAGAGGTGAGCCCTGAGGGTGTCCCACCAGCAAGGAGATGTTGGTCAGGGTGACATCTCCATCTCAGTCCAGGGTCCAGCTCCCACCCTCACCTCCTCAGGAGGCACTTCCCCTCCTGGACTCCCCCACCTGTGAGGCTGGGCACACACACCATGCTCACCCCATTGTCACTGGCACCACTGGCTTCTCTAAGTGCCCAGGGATGGTGTGATCATGGTTACTGCCAGTGGAGCAGGTCCTCAGGAAGAAGGGTCCATGTCAGAGTGACCCCCAATCATTGTCCCCCTCCCCCCACTTCCCAGCTAGTGTCAGAATGGCTGTTCCACCACCTGGAGAGCGGCCTCATTCTCTCCCAGGCTGGGTAACAGAAAGCCCAGCCATTGTGTTCCCTTCATGTCCTCCTACCTCCGGCAAGGTGCCTCCAGTCAGTCATGAGCTCTCCTCTCTCTGCCCCCAGAACTGAAGAAACAGGTGGAAAGTGCCGAGCTAAAAAACCAGCGGCTGAAGGAGGTCTTCCAGACCAAGATCCAGGAGTTCCGGAAGGTCTGCTACACGCTCACAGGTTACCAGATCGACATCACCACAGAGAACCAGTACCGGCTGACGTCCATGTATGCTGAGCACAAAACCGACTGCCTACTCTTCAAGGTGAGCCTGGGGCTGAGCTCCCACTGACTGGGGCTCAGGGGCACCGGGACTCAGCTGCACTGCCTTGTGTGTGAGCCTGAATCTGCAAGCAGGAGGAGACCTAGCCATTTCCCTGGTCATATGAGCAACTCTATAAGGAGCTATGGTAGCGTAGTGGTTACGAATCGGGCTGTGAACCTTAAGGTCAGCGGTTCGAAACTACTAGCTGCTCCACGGGAGAAAGATGAGGCTTTCTACTCCCGTAAAGATTTACACCCTCGGAAACCCTATACAGGGTCGCTATGGGTCGGGACCGACTCGATGGCACATAACAACAACAACAACAACCTCAGTAAAGAGCCAAGATAGCTTATTTAATGGTTGTTGTTGTTAAGTGCTACTGAGTCTGTTCCATTTTCT